TAAACTGCCACTTGGGCAATCTGAAAAGGGAAAACAGCAATTTTGCTTCCATCTTCTTCCACAAAGAATAGTTGGCCAAGCAGAAATGCACAACCAAATGAATTAAGATAGAAATGAAGCAGAAGATAGGCCAAGAAGAAACACTTTAATTAGTTAAAAGTTCAGAAGACAGAAGGCACAAATGCAAATTGATAAGAAATATAAATGAGACACCCTGAAGTTAGCAACATCAGTGCAACCCTGCTGATAAGGAGACAGCCATCTCTCAAGTCTGCTGACCACCAGTCCTGGATTAGCAGGTCCTGATTTTTCAAGAGAAGGTAGAACTTCTGAGTTCAAAATCAGATATCCTATTTTGTTTCTTTTTATTCTAATATGAATCTGAAGGTAAATCAAGGCTTATCTGGGATTTACATCTAGAATTCACTAGTTATAAGACAACAAACAGAAAATGAAATATAGATGAGAAACAACCAAGTCAGGATTATCCTGGTGAGAAAGAGAACTCAGAAAGAATCTGGGAAAGAAAATAGGGGTATTCAACAGCATCTGAGATATTTAATTTGTAGAAAAGTATTTTAGTCAAATATGGCAAAATGTTAAGATTTGATTAACACTCATGTTCATTATATTCCTCACCATTGTTTCTTGGCTTAAAAGATTCATAATAATAAAAGCATGTTATTTATTTCTCTATATTTATACATAGAGTTAGATGCACCTATTCATGAATAGAGGGTGGGTGATATTTGGCATAGTTAGCTACAGAGCATAACTATAGATAAAGGTGGGATTTAGATCTATATTACAGTGCGTGATCGACTACCTTCCTAGAGAATTTAGAGTTTAGAAAAACATATATAGCCACAAAAAGAGATGCACTACCTCTATTCAAAACCATGCTTGCAGAGGAAGAATTTGCAAGTGAGTTTATTTTTTGTTGTTGAAAACCTTCCTATCAATACTTGAGATATCTGGAAACTCTCTAGAAATTTAAATATGGTTCAAGAATTTGGGGTGCCTAAACATGAGAAATAGTCTGCGTGTTTACTACACCTACAAGGGTCAGATCTATGCCTCTCTATCTTTACACTCTATACAATGGCACCTTGGACATGACAGATCATTTCTCCATAGATATTAATTAATTAAAATGCAACAGGCTATGTTGGCTTTTACCTTATTATAAAAATAACAAAAGCTATAATGTTGTTGAACAACTACTAGTGACTAGGCTTTGTGCCAATGACTTCATAATATTATTCACTAATGCACATAGGAAAACTACAGGCAGTATTGTTTTCCCAGTGAACTGGTAAAGAAAGCCAATTATTTGTTCATCTCATCAATTTTATTGAGTACCAACTCTTTGACAATCACTGTTCCTGCAAGCAGGATCGACATATAATAATGAAGGCTGTAATTTCTGCCTTATCAAAAACTTGTATTTTCTAGGGAGACATAGAATGAGCCAACAAACATGCAAATGATATATTGCAGTGTGAAATGACAATAACAGAGGAGAAAACAAAGCAGGAAAGGAAACAAGGACTGAGATAGGTTATAATGGTGTTTTAAATAGGCTGGTCACGGAATGTCTGTGGAGTTTGGGCAAGAATGGAAGAGAGGGATGGATGAGCTGTGTGGCCATTTGTAAGAAAAGTGCCTGCACCAGGGAACAGCAGTAATGCCTGGATAGGAATACACTTGGGTGTTCAGGAACAGCGGGATGCTGTTGGTTGGAATAAATGGGAGATACAGTAAAGATGGCAAGACCAGGATTCCAGATGCAGATGTTTAGAGTATTTAGAATTCATTGCTTTGATTTTGCATCGAAGGGGAAAGTTATTTTGTCCACAGAAGAATTATATGATCTCACTTAAGGATTAAAAGAATTATTTGGGCTAAGTGGAGAATAGCCTATAGAAATTGAAAGAATTCAGAAAACCTAACTTCTAGTTGGCACACTAACTGAGCATGCGGACTGGTGAATCAGAGCAGAGAAGTGTGTCTTAATTCACCAGTATTTGAGGACAACAGTGCTGGAATCTTCGAATGTCCCAAGAGGTGCCTAACAATGACCAGAAACGATGCGTGTGAGTGAGGGAGCTTCTCACCAGTGATGACAATGCTGCAAGTTCGGGATACAAACACATCTTCCTTATCTCAAAGAGGTTTAGTCTGGTGGAAAATATTGGGAAATAGCTAAATACAAGAATGAAGAATAAAAAAATTAATACAATTTAACAAATGAAAAAGAACACTGGGCCGCAGGTGCTCTACCCTGTAATCCCAGCACTTGGGAGGATGTGGGGGAGGAAAGCGTTGAGTTCAGGAGTTCAAGACCAGCCTGAGGAGAGCCAGTCCCCATCTCTAGCAAAATAGAAAAAATTACAGGTGGCACCCTGTAGTCTCAGTTACTGCGAGCTGAGGCAGGAGAATCATTGAGCACCCAGGAATTCGGTTCGTGGACTAGCTGACCCACTGCACTCTACTCAGGGAATAGAGTAGAACCAGCCTCAAAAAAAAAAAAACCCCATCGTGCCAAAGCGCGCTCCTCACAGCTCTGATGCAATGGATTCAAATGGATCGAGAGTATTTTTTTAATTACCTTTGCTCCATGACTGAAAACGGACAACAGAATGCCCGAACAAAGAGCAAGGCTTGGATTCACCCATTTTCCCTCACTCCATAAACTAGCTGTATATCGAAACAAACACAGAGCTCCCCCAAACCAACGGAATTCTTTCCAAGTTAGCCACAGTGAAGGCACATATCTGCATACTCACTGGCTCCTTCGTTTAAATACAGGGATGGAGACGTTTCAACCTCCAGCACAAATGGCATGCCAAGTTAATAGACAAAACTGACTGCTCATCAACCAGTGCTCCTCCTGAATTACAAGATCCTGAATTCTCAGGTATCACAATGCCATGCACTTCTGTAGAAGGCTGGATCCTCCTTAGCCCAGGCTTGGATTTTGAATATTAGGTTAAACCAATGATTCTCCAAATCTGCTTACACAAAAAGGGAATTGTAAAACACAGATAACCCATAGGCCACTTTCAGATACTTCTGATTTAATTGGTTTGTGGTCGGTTGTTTTGTTGTTTTTTGTTTTTTAAGTTGCCCAAAGTAATTATATTCTGACGGGTTAGAACCACTGACTTAAACCAGTTATGGAAATTCATTCCTCTACAATAATTTAGAATGACCATGTAACAAATTTTTTTCCCAACAAGATAGAGGAGTATCTCCAGAGAGCTCCTCAAGGAAGTGTTCCTTCTGGCGAAGAGACTCAGTTAAACATTTGTTCTTTCTGCCTATATACTAAACTATGTGAAGGATTTAAGAAACGGAATTCTATAGCCATCTTTTAATTATGAGGAGAGTATCCAGCATATCAAAGATGGTAAGAAAAAGATGAAACTCTGTCGTAATATATAATTACTATTCATCCACCAAATGAATACGCCTGGAGCCATCTGCCCTAGACTCTTAATAATCAGAAGTTATATAAATACCTATTCTTCAAAAATTGTTGTATTGAGTGTTCTTATTTGTAATGCAGATGAAAAACATCCTAAATAATCGTAATAGTTTCTGGAAAAAATACGAGTTATTAGAAGTGAGCTTACCAGTGAACGAAACATTTTTTTCGGGAATTGTTTGTTTGTTTGTTGTTGTTTAAATTATATACCCCAATAAAGACCTAAAGACTCTTTTTCAGCATATCTACCTACTTGGGCAAAAACAAAAATAGAGAAAGAGAAATACTCAGTTAAATCTAACAAAACGAGCTACAGAAATTTTTTTTCCTGTCTACAAACTGTAACCAGAACTGTGTAATAACCTGCCATCGAAGCCTGAATCTTACAGGGACATAACCAGTATACAAGCAATGAGAGCAATCATGAAATTCCATCCACCCTTCGTTGTTGCAAATAGAAGACATAATTGTTTGCACTTATAGATATGTGTCATACAGCAAGGGAAAAAACAAACACATAACATATCAAACAAACTGCATATAAAGAAGAAAGATATTTCACCAAATTAGGAGGATATCAGATTCTAACAACATATTTTTCATAAACAGGATCCATATTTTACGAAAAGAAAAGGTACAATAATAAGAGCCTAATAAAATGAGCAAAGACCCATTACAAAAGTGCTACAATCTGTTTCAGAAAGTTAAAAAATAAAAGATAAGGCTGGCGTGGTGCTCACGCCTTAATCAGCTTTTCTAAGTACAAAGACCTTTGAAATTGATGAGATGACAATAGGTGTAATTATATTTTCTATCTAAATATAAGGGTCTGGAACATGATAGAAGCCTAATATAAACAAATGAGTTTTCCTGTTGGTAGACTCCTGCATTATTTTATCTTCATAGTCATATTCATATTTCTCTTCTCAATTCAATTCTTCAGCCAATTGAATTTTGTCTCATATATGATGTTTCAGACTCATGATGGCACCATGAAATCTTCCACGTTTCTGACTTACTTCTTTTACAACTACAATTGTGTAACTCTGGTCAGATATGTATTGGTTTTTTTCTCCTAACCCAGATGCACAAGGCTTAGGACTGAACTGTTCAAAGCCTCTTAGAGGGAGAAAAGTATCCTAGGCTTGCTCTTGTTAGGAGCAGCAAAGATTCATGAGCAATTTAAATCTCTTTACTAGGCTAGGACTTCAGGTGGTGCCCCTCTGACTTGGACAAGAGCTCAAGTTGAAAAATAATTGCTGATCTCTGGCACTGAAATAGCTAGATTAAAAAACATCATAGCATGCTATAAATGGAAATAATTTTAGAGTTGCCTAGAACAAAGGATTTAAGAACCTACCATCAAAAATATTTGTCCTAAATGTCTAACACTTCCTTTATCCTTTTCCTGATTTAACCTTAAAATCTAACTTACATGTAGCATACCTATGCTATGAACAATGGAAACACAAATCTCTGTTATTTTAAAATATTTTCTTTCTTTTCTCAGTTTCTACAGATAAAGTGATCTGAAGTAATGCGTGATGCCGCAAAGCTGAAATGAGAAACTGTGACAACCCCCAGAAATGTGAAAGGAGGTTTCTTGTTGGATAGCAGCATCTTTGGTTCAATTTATATAAAAACCCAAATAAATAAAATGGACAGTATTGCTAAATTTTAGAAATTCCATTTCTTCTATGTTCTAAGCTGTACAACTGTCAGGTTTTTATGGTTTAAATTGTAAATGTGTTTTCCCCTTTGCTAATTATGTTTTTTTTTTTAAGTCTTAAAATGTGAAAGACATTTATGAATGGTAAGGGAGACACTATATACAAATGTATATTTGTAAAAGCTATTTTTATGATTAGCATGTTTCACTGTTGATCATATATAAAGCCAGGTGATACTGCAGTTCTATGTTTAAAGCTTATTTCCAACAATGTCATGTAAGAGAAGACACATCTTATGCTAGTTTTTATAATTTATTTTTAATTTATAGTTTAAAGTATTTCAGATCGTAAGGGTAAAATATTTGAAAGAGTTATATTTCTGCCCTCTATAAGCACCATTTTTATTAATAAAGAATGCAAATATTGCAGATATGTTATAATAGTTAAAGGACTGCTGGTTTTACCTGTGATTAAGATGAGCATGCTCCACTCTACTGAACTAAAGTGATCCAATTATTACCTAATACTTCAGTCTGGGTCGGAGATTCCTTGGACAAGTTTTAATGGTCTTATAGGTGAGAACTAGATTGCCAAGGAAATGATTGTCTTGTCTTTGGATCCAAAAGTTTAAATTAGTGCATACATCACTTCATTTCCTCTCCTATTCCTAGGAATTCTCCACTCCCAAGTATTGCAAGTGTTTTCCAGATGCTCTTAGCTGTTGTCTTGTGCTGTGGAAATGGAGAAACCATCTTCACAGACTGTAGGAGAATTCAGCATATAATTTCTTAATAAATACTGTTTCTTTTAAAAACGAAGTTGGTGGTATCTTTCCTTTGGAGTACACTTAGTTTTAATATACAATTTGAACTTTTTCACAGTAGTGTCACAAAATCCATACAATAATGAAAGTAGCATAACTTTACTACAGTGTATATTATATGTTCTACATGCCCACACTCTTCCCAAAGCAAACTATATTCTGCAACATATTTACTTGCCATATAAAAGAAAGCCAGATGGCCTTTCATTCTTGACAAAAGTAACACTCCAGTTTACATTTCCAGAAGGTTATAGTTTTCCTCCAAATACAGAATTTTAAGAAAATGTTTCAGTATAGAAAACAAAACTACTTCATCAGGAGGTATTAATGTTTATGTTCTGCCAGATTAAAAGTCTGTAGCTAAATGACTGCAAGCTCCCCATTAAAGAGCAGAGAGACATGTAAATGTCACCAAGAACACTTAGTGGGATAAAGGCCTCCCTCCTTCAAAGAAATTGAGGAGAGTCTAAAATCACCTTGGTAAGTTTTCCCTGAATTTTCTATTTAATTTCTTTAAGGTAATTTATCCTATCTCTGTCTTTCAAATATAAGCTAATGAAAAATCATACAATTTCATCCAACAAAGTGTATCAAAAACTAAAATTCTGGGAAAAAAAGAATTACAACTCTGTCATTAAAGAAAATAAAATAAACTACATTTTACTGTTTAAAGTCTTTGGAAACTTGCACAATAGAACCTAGGATCTGGATCAAGAATGTACTTCGCTTCTAAGGGAATGCAAAAACTATAGTGTGGTACACTGTCAACTATGTTTGATGGCCATAATGAGTATGAAAGAATTTGTGATTGCCAGTGACTGGACTTTGAAACTGAAAAGAACCTGTATATGGTTCTATATGGGAATAAAACCAGCATAGTGATTTCTTGGATTGCTACCAAATAGATACATTTGGGGGAATAATCCAATGTTCCAGAAAGAAGTGTTGGAGGAACTGTATATTAGGAAATTATATATGTTAATATTTTTCCCAATTTGTCATTTGTTTGTCCTCAGAGTATTCAATAAATAGTGTGGTATTTATAATCCAACATTATCATAAATTATTGAGAGTATCATACTTTCCCTGATGGTCATTAACTATTCTCAAAACAACATGAATAATTAAAATGTATAAAAAGAATTCTTTGTTATTGGACTTAATTTTCTCCACATAGGCCTTGAAGTATGAAACCATGGGTCTTTCCCTTTATTTATTACTCATTCCTGGTTTAAGAATTTCTTTTGACAACAAAGATGGAACAAAATATATACCAAGTCAACAAAAAGTACAGATAATTGGGGATTATAACCCCTGACAGCTTAGTGTCACAATTTAAAGCTTTGAAGGGCTGAGAAGGGGTGTGTGAACTTCTTCAAACTCCAAATAATGCCAGTCTCATAAAACAATGTCAAGGGGATAAAAGCGGAGGGGCATTACTCACTGCATTCAATTCAAGAAAAATATGGAACATTAGGCCCACTGCTTGAAGTTAGGTAAACTGGTCACTTGGGCAATCTGAAAAGGGAAAACACCAATTTTGCTTCCATCTTCTTCCACAAAAGAATAGTTGGCCAAGCAGAAATGCACAACCAAATGAATTAAGATAGAAATGAAGCAGAAGATAGGCCAAGAAGAAACACTTTTAATTAAGTTAAAAGTTCAGAAGACAGAAGGCACAAATGCAAATCCTACAAAGACCTGATAAGAAATATAAATGAGACAACCCTGAAGTTAGCAGACATTCAGTGCAACTCTGCTGATAAGGAGACAGCCATCTCGCAAGTCCTGCTGACCACCAGTCCTGGATTAGCCAGGTTTCCTGATTTTTCAAGAGAAGGTAGACATTCTGAGTTCAAAATCAGATATCCTATTTTGTTTCTTTTGTTTTATTCTAATATGAATCTGAAGGTAAATCAAGGCTTATCTGGGATTTACATCTAGAATTCACTAGTTATAAGACGAACAAACAGAAAATGATAATAATGAGAAACAACCAAGTCAGGATTATCTCTGGTGAGAAAGAGAACTCAGAATAGAATCTGGGAAAGAAAACAGGGGTATTCAACAGCATCTGAGATATTTAATTTATTAGGAAAAGTATTTTAGTCAAATATGGCAAAATGTTAAGATATGATTAACACTCATGTTCATTATATTTCCTCCCCGTTGTTTTCTTGGCTTAAAAGACTTCATAATAATAAAAGCATGTTATTTATTTCTCTATATTTATACATAGAGTTAGATGCACCTATTCATGATATAGAGGTGTGGGTGATATTTGGCATAGTTAGCTACAGAGCATAACTATAGATAAAGGTGGTGATTTAGATCTTAGATCCATTAGCAGTCTGTGAGTTTGGGATCTACCTTTCCTAGAGACATTTAGATTCCTAGAAAACAATATGACCCACAAAAAGAGATGCACTACTCTAATATTCAAAACCATGCTTGCAGAGGAAGAATTTGCAAGTGAGTTTATTTTTTGTTGTTGAAAAACCTTCCTATCAATGCTTGAGATATCTGGAAACTCTCTAGAAATTTAAATATGGTTCAAGAATTTGGGGTGCCTAAACATGAGAAATAGTCTGCGTGTTTACTACACCTACAAGGGTCAGGTCTATGCCTTCTCTATCTTTCCACTCTATACAAATGGCACCTTGGACATGACAGATCATTTCTCCATAGATATTAATTAATTAAATGCAACAGGCTATGTTTGGGCTTTTACCTTATTATAAAAATAACAAAAGCTATAATTTGTTGAACAACTACTATGTGCTAGGCTTTGTGCCAATGACTTCATATATATTATCACTAATGCACATAGGAAAACTACAGGGCAGGTATTGTTTTCCCCAGTGTACTGGTAAAGAAAGCCAATTATTTGTTCATTCATCAATTTTTTATTGAGTACCAACTCTTTGACAATCACTGTTCCTAGCAACAGGGATCCAGCTATAAATAATGAAGGCTGTAATTTCTGCCCTTCAAAAACTTGTACTTTTCTAGGGGATGACATAGAATGAGCCAACAAACATGCAAATGTATAGTATTGCAGGTGATAATGACAATAAACACAGAGGAGAAAACAAAGCAGGAAAGGAAACAAGGACTGATGAGAGTTTAAATGGGTGTTTTAAATAGGCTGGTCACGGAAGTTTCTGTGGCATTTGGGCAAAGATGGAAGGAGGGGATGGGGTGAGCTGTGTGGCCATTTGTAAGAAAAGTGTCCTGAACACAGGGAACAGCAAGTAAATGCCCTGGAGTAGGAATACACTTGGTGTGTTCAGGAACAGCAAGGAAGGGATGCAGTTAGGTTGGAATAAATGAGGAAGAGAAAAGTAAGAGATGAGGCCAAAGAAAAGCCAGGATTCCAGACCGCAGAGTGTTAGAAGTGATTCAGAATTCATTGGCTTTGATTTTGCATCGAAGGGGAAAGTTTTTGCACAGAAGAATGATATGATCTCACTTAAGGGTTAAAAGAATTATTTGGGCTAAGTGGAGAATAGCCTATAGAAATTGAAAGAATTCAGAAAACCCTAGCTTCTAGGTTGGGAAACCACAACCTGAGCATGGCCTGGACTGGTGATCAGAGCAGAGAAGTGTGTTCGTTAATTCACCAAGTATTTGTAGAGCCCTTCCTCTACTCCACATGTGTATTTGACAATGGGCATGCAGTCGGGAATACGAACACATTCCCTTATCTCAAAGAGCTTAGCCTGGCGGAAAATATTGGGAAATAGCTAAATAAGGATGGAAAGAATAAAAAAAATTTAAACGATATTACAAATGAAAAAGAACACTGGGCCGGGCATGGTGGCTTACCCTGTAATCCCAGCACTCTGGGAGGATGTGGGGGGAGGAAAGCTTGAGTTTAGGAGTTCAAGAGCAGCCTGAGGAAGAGCCAGTCCCCCATCTCTACTAAAAATTAGCAGGTGGGCACCTGTAGTCTCAGCTACTTGCGAGGCTGAGGCAGGAGAATCACTTGAGCCCAGGAATTTCAGGTTGCTGTGAGCTAGGCTGACGCTACTGCACTCTACTCAGGGCAATAGAGTAAGAACTCAGCCTCAAAAAAAAAAAAAAAAAAAAACCACCATGTGCCAAAGTCCTGCTCCTCATAGCTCTGATGCAAATGGATCAAATGGATCGAGAAGTATTTTTTTAATTACCTTTGCTCAATTGACTGAAACGGAGCGACAGAAGTGCCCGAACAAAGGGCAAGGCTTGGATTCACCACAACCTTTTGCCCTCACTCCATAAACTAGCTGTATATCGAACAAAACAGAGCTCCCCCAAACACAAGGGAATTCTCTTCCAAGTTAGCCACAGTGAAGGCACATATCTGCATACTCACTGGCTCCTTCGTTTATACAGGGATGGAGACGTTTCAACTCCCAGCACACAAAATGGCAGCCAGTTGCATAGAACAAAACTGACTGCTCATCAACCAGTGCTCCTCCTGATTACAAGATCCTGAATTTGCTCAGGTATCCAATGGCCATGCACTTCTGAGAAGGCTGGGTCCCTCCTTAGCCCCAGGGCTTGGATTTTGAATTTAGGTTAAACCAATGGTTCTCCAAATCTGCTTACACAATAAATGGGAACTTGTAAAAACACAGATAACCATAGGCCACTTTCAGATATTCTGATTTAATTGGTTTGTGGTCAGGGTTTTGTTTTGTTTTTGTTTTTAAGTTGCCCAAGTAATTTATATTCTGACAGGGTTGAGAACCACTAACTTAAACCAGTTATGGAAATTCATTCCTCTTACAAATAATTTAGGAATGACCATGTAACACAATTTTTTTCCAACAAGATATGAGGAAGTATCTTCCAGAGAGCTCCTCAGGAAGGTGTTCTTTCTGGCGAAGGAGACTCAGTTAAACTTTTGGGTTCTTTTCTGCCTATATATAAAGCTATGTGAGGATTTGAGAACTGGAACTTCTATAGCCATCTTTTAATTATGAGGAGAGTATCCAGCATATCAAAGAT